GCTCACAACTCCCAAACTAACAAGGTAAATAACAGTGTGCTATGGCTGTGGTACTTGCGGTAGTTCTTAAACCGTGGTGTTCCTAGCAAGAAGACCTAAAGCTTTTCTTTATGGTTGCACCTAGCTAAGTTTCGGGGCTTCGGGTCCATCCACCCCAAGCCCCAAACCTTCAGTCCTAAACCCTAACCGGCCCTAACCTCTACATTCAGGTCGATGGCCATTTCCATCTTCTCATGCCATATCAATAACCCGCCCGCATACCGTTGTACGGAACCGCTTCAATAGACCCGCTAGAAACGAGCAGCCCCTTCCCAAAAAAAAGCCTCGAACGCCCTCAACCTCCATCCTCCGGAGGCCAAGCCCTACGACAACCTCTCCGTGTTCCTGGGACTGGGCCTGGGTCTTCTCGCAGCGGCAGCGGCGTTGAATCTCGCATTCTGTTAGTTTTTGGAGGGCTTTGGGTTTAGGGTTAAGGGTTTAGGGCTTCCGCTGGGGTTTCAGAAAGTTTAGGGGTCCGGGGTTGTTTTTGGTGCTACTAGCGATTTAGTTTAGGGTTCTGCAGTTCCCAGTTGTCCAGGCGTGTTTTGAAATAGGAAGCCTATTGCTCAGGACTCCAGATTCGGATCCTCATGCTTTGCATGAGGATCCCATTTTGGTTGGCGGAGATCACGACTCATGAAAAGTTCAAGTGGTGTTTAGGGGTCATACAGATCTTATGCGCGTCTTTGTTTTGCAGCTGTCCTGAACTTCCTGAACTATCGGCAATGGTGTCAGGTCTGATTCGGATCTGAACCATTCTGGAATGAAGTGGTGCTTCAGACGACGTGAGTGTTGTTCCAAAGCTTTCGGTGCTTAAGGGCCCACTGTTCGGCAGCAAGAGCACCCTCTTCAGCTTGTCAACAGTTATCCGCATACCCAGATTGAGTGTATTGTGCCCTCTTCTTGAATCTTGCTTCGGCAAAGCCCTAAACCCTAAACTTTACCTAAACCGTAATTGGCTGGATCAAGGCCCCCAGTTTCCGAAACTTCCCAGGATCTTCGTTCTCCTTGGTGCTATCATCAAGGCTCGGCCACGTGGTGGGAACTGAGGAAATATAGGGGCCTAAGGCATAGGTTGTCTTATGGTTTCTGCATTACTATACGAACACATGCCATGAGACCAGTTGTTGGGCACTGAGTGACCAGGTAACAGAGTCTTTGGGGCTTACAAACGCTGCATATATGTTCTTATGTATACTGAGAATGATCATATACAAACCGCAAGCACCTTTCGTCTGACTATAAAAGCTTCTGCATCCCAAACTGTACACCCTAGGCCCTCTGCTCTAAGCCCTTAACCTTCCACTACTGGTTCCGATCTTCAGCTCCAAGTGGGAGATGGAGAACACTTGGGCGCAGTATTGAAGACTTGCAGATCAATGTCTCGAGTTTGGAGCTTGAAGCCCCAAGCCCTCAACCTTAAAGCCCAAGCCCTAAACTCGTAGATTCGGGGGCGAAGTTCGAAAGGCTCTTGGGTCTGGGGCGAGGGTTTTCTGTCGCTGCCGCTGTCTTGTCGGCTAACAGGACCGTTAGCCACCTTTGACGAAAAAGAGCAATAGTGACAACAACCAACAACGACCAACAACAACCACACCACAGCACTATTTCAATAGCTGCTGAAACCACAATGTTGATGATTCGTAGTGAATCATCGCATCATACCAGGCATGAGATATTTAAGACGGATTAGGATCCAAGCTTCCTCGAGCCAAGCCGAACAACAGCCAACACGCCCGCAGCCGAAGTCGCAATCTGTTGTCGGTTAGAACACGCCGTCATGGCTTACTAGGTGTGGTGCTACAGTGTACATTACGATACAAACAATGCTGTAACGATGCGAACCACTGAGTCGTGCTCTCGAGATGTGCAGATGCTGGTACTATGGGTTATGATAATGGTGATGGCATTGTACTGATGGTGACGATGATGACGATGATGATGATGATGAGATTTTCGTGGTTGCCTGATACCGCTGCATCAGGTGATCTTCGGCTTGATCGGCCGTCCGCTTGAGAGACGGCTGGGAAAGCCACTCGGCGAAGACCCACAGGGGATGGCTTTGCAAGAATGTCAGTGCCGTTGCTGTCACTGTAGAGCCTAGGCCCTGAACCATGGACAAAAACAGCAGAGCCCTAAACCCTAAGCCTAGGCATGAGGGAGCCTTTCGTGGTGAAGTAGGATTTGCCGCTGGAGTTGTGTCGACCATGAAGACTTTGTGTTGGGGTTGGTGCGGTGATTTTGGGTATTGGGGGGTGCATATACCAAAGTCCAACATGTTCTTGCCTTCTTGGGCTAAAGGCTTTTTGCACTTTCTGGGTCGGGAAGGGTTTGCGCAGCGTAAGCTCTCAATGGAAAGTCTCAGACCCTCAGAGCCCGCCGGCAAGCACCCGAAGCTCTTAGAACCCCCAAACTGCAGACCTGAAGATTCCAGAAAACCCTTTCTGTATCGACAAACCTCCGAAGTGAAGGAAATTTTCTTATTTAAACACGAAGCGAAGGAACCGGAGAGGAGGGCCCAGAGATTGTCGAATCTCTTGGAGTGTCGCTTTTAGGCCTCAGGCGAGAGTTTATATCGGTTTTTTGTGGCTTCGGGCTTATATAGTCTATTGATTCTGGGATTTAGGGCTTAAAGGTTTTCAAGTTTGGGGTTTTGTGGGTTGTAGGTTTTTGGGTGGGTTTGTGGGCTAAAGTTTGGGGGGTTTGGGGCCCCGGGATGTTCCCAAGGGGCCCTGGAGCCTCCGCAGGCGCCCGCGGCAGGTGGTCCTCGCGTCCCTCGCAGGCCTCATCACGGGTGCGGCTTGGTTGGGAAGATCGTTTCGTGCAGGGTTCAGGTGTGAGGGCTGTATATGGGGTTCACTCTAGCGGTTATTTAGGGCTTCCGTGGTGTGGGGTTTTGAGTCTTTGTGGCTTGACTGGCCTGAGGGCTTTAAGCTTTAAGTTGCATGGCACAGGGCTCTTCCAGGGCTTTTGGGAGTCACCTTCGGTGCTTCGGGGTGCTTCTCTTGGAGTCTTAGTAGGAACTTGCTGAAGAAACCCCTGGTCCGACAGTATGAAGATCCGCAGAAGTCTGAATCAGTTTAGTAGTAGCTGCAGTAGTAGTCCAGACATCCCCACTAACGCCTTTAGGTGGCCGTGTTGGTAAACTCTACGGCTCTACGGTCCTCAAACCCTGAGCCTCAGAACTCCCAAACGCACAGAAGCCCCCCGAGGTGGCCAAACCCCTTAGCTCCAAAATACTAAACCCTTGAGCTCCCAGTTTGGGGGATTAGGCGCCTTACGGTTTAGGAATTTAGGGTTTAGGGGTTTAGGGTTTCGGGCCCTTGGGGGTTTAGGCTTTAGGGTCCGACTCCAAGGTGGCCACGTTCATGTATCCCCTGGCGATCAGCAGCGGTAAGTCGGCCATGGAACCCACGATGAAGCGTCTTGGCTCTTGAATAGTGCTCCTGGTTTCTTGGATCCCAGATGCTTGGTAGGGGTTTCGATGAAGCTTTTGATTACGAGGGTTCTGTACAGGTTCTATAGAGGGATCTATATGTAGGGGTTCTATGAAGATTTTACGAGGGTGCTGTACAGGTTCTATAAGGGGATCTATATGGGCTTTGTGGGGATTGTTGGCTCTGGAAAGTCTGCCGTTGCGCTTCTTCTTTAAGGTTTGAGGGTTTGCGGGATTTTGGGGCGTTTGGGGTGAGGGATTTTGGGGTTAAGGGTTTGCAGTGTACGATGTCGGGCACAGATTTGGATGTTGGGTTGCCCCAGCCAAAGCTAACTACGCAGCCGCAGCGCATTGCTGCCTACTTTGTTGGTTTTCGAGTTCTGCACTGCAGACAAGCGAGAAAATGGATATAACATGGGCTCATCTTGGATTCACTTGTTATTTCCCCATTCGGAGCGAATGAGGTTGTGATTGCACACGACCCTGAGTAGAAATACTGGCCCCAGTCGCAAATTTTAGGCCAAGAACCGACGTCGTACTCCAACCCCGCTTACCCAAGCCTAAACCCCCGAACAAACGCCAACCCATGCGGCTTCCAAAACCCCGCCAAAGTCAAGAACCCAAAGGCCTGAGCCCTTATCCGCAAGCTGCCAAGCCCTAGAGCTAAAACCCTAACCTCTTTAACCCGAGCCCTCAGAACGGTCACGTCTCAATCCTGAACTCTTGAACCCTGCATGAACTCCAAAGACCCTAAGACCCTAAACCCCTAAGCCCCAAACCTCTAAACCCTAAACCCAACCCTTGAAGCTCTCCTAAACCCTAACATCTAGACTCTGAGGTTCGCACTTTTCCTGACCACCACCGACCTCTTAGGCCGGCCTAAAGCGGGCCAAGAGAGCATAAGGTGCTTTAGGGTTTAGGGTGTAGGACATAAGACGCCTTGAATTCAGCAATATGCTATTGGCTTGTAAGGTTGGTCTTGGACTAGAGGCTAGAAGCACTATAGAACGTAAACTTATAGAGGGTGTGCTTTACTCCCCTGATGTTGTTTGATGTTTGCCAGACAAAACCCCTAAATTCCAGACACTTCCTTACACTCTAAACACCCTTAACCTCCCAGGGCCTGAACTCCCAGAACTTCCCTAGATTTTAAAAGCCCGCCTAAGCCCTAAACCCTATAAAAACTGAGCCCTCAACCCAAAGCACAAATCGGATCGAGAAGTGTACCAACAAAACCCAAAGCCCTGAACTCTTAACCAAATATTCGTCGAGATGTCGTGGAAACCCGGGGGTGCTCATCCGCAAGTCGCTTACAAGTATTTTGGAATTCAGGGCTTTACGGTCAAGGTTATTTTGGGGCTCGTTTAAGCGCCAAATCCCAAAGGTTGCTGAATTTCTGGAGTTCAGGCTCCAGATTCTAGATGAGGCTTGATTCGGGTGATCTCTGAAACCTGGTCGCAGAAACAAGTCTCATCTTGTTCAGGGCAAAATTGTGGACCAGTTAAGGAAGAATCACGTAGAAGTGTCGATGCAAGCTTTGGAGCTTGTGGCAGGTGCTGCTGTGGCCAAGTGTGTGGCATATTGGGCCTGTGCTCACGGCGGTGCTTGGGATGCAAGCCGGACAGCGAGTCTCTACCACATCTGTCTTCGATGCAATCAGTTTTGTTTTTCTAATCTCCTGCTTCGCTGCACATTTCGTTTCTCCTGTCTTTTCCTTTAGCCACGACTGCCCGACATCTTATTCCAAATTCCTGTTTCACGATGGATCTAGCTTGGCGGACGTCCTACACCTCAAACCTAAGCCCTGAAACCCGGCATGGTTCGGGTGCAAAAGTGTGGGCTTAGCATCCCCGGTACTCCCAGCAACCAAACCTTGGTTTTCGGGGCTAAGGGGTGTTCAGAATGTAGGCCGACGTCGCCGGGAATTGCAGGCCGTGCGATTTGATGCCAACCAAGGTCAGGTCACGAGCATCGACTGTCAATTGGTGATTTGTCGATGCATACATCTATTAGAGATGTGCGTGTATGCATATACACATGTGTACATGTATAGAGATACGTAATACTTTGTCTGAAGCGTAAGCGACCCTGAAGATTGAAGAACCGAAGCTTTCGCAACCCGCTGGAGGCCTCGTGGGCGGAATCTTCTTTCCGCTCCTCTACTACGGCTCCTCCCTCTGCATTAAATACTAAACCCAAGACCCTTATAAACCCTAAACCTTGAACCCCTTCAATCGCTAGGCCTCCTGAACCCTGAACTCTAACCTTAAGTTAACAATTCTCAAGAATGAAAGAAATAGAAACTGTGTGCCGTTGTTCGCCTGGACCCCTTAATAAACCGGCAATTTCAGCCGCCACCCCCAGCCCCGAAAATCCCGCCTCAACCCAGCCTTGAAGCCCGAAAAGCCCCAGCCCAGCCCAGAACCTACCCAAGTTCCGCCCAGCACCTCAACTCAAAAGTAAAGTGATTTAGGGTTCACACTTTATGGCCTCCCTGAACGAAGCAGTTAATGGATATCTCGCATGTTTTCATCAACTCATAGGTTTATCTGCTGAAGGAGTTTGGTCGAGGTTGGGCAGTGTATGAACTCGAGTGTTGCAATACATTGTTCTAGTGTAATCTACTCTTGCAAGGCTTTGTCCAGACTCCCAGGCAGCCGGTAGCGTTTCAACCAGCAGATGCTTTTGACATCTCCTTTTCTGCCTTGCAGGAATCCTCACTCGTAGTGCGGGGGAAGGATCCCCGAATCTGAGAGTCTAAACTGTATCCCCCTCAGCTTTGCACCACACACCGAAACGATCCTACACCCTGAAAGCCGCAGCCTTTGTCTGTGAAACTCTGAGCCCTAACAGAAGACCCCAAGCCCCAAGCGCCAGATCCGAAAGGTCTGACTCTCGGAGAGGTTTGTGCGAAAGTCTTCAACATTAGCCTTGCTCCAAGTCGCGACGCCGTTTTGTTTCAGTTCAGGCTTCGGGTTTGACCGGATGCTCCAGAATCTGTAAGAGTTCTAATGCACAAGGGCTCTATTCGTTTGTTACGGTTCCTTTGAGGGTTTGTAACGGCTACAGCCATAGCTCTTTCAAGGGCCTCGGGGTCTTGCAGGGCGGTCGAGACTTCATGGTCAACGGTGGAAGGCTTGGGCTGCAGAGTCTGCGGGGATGGCTTGGGCTGCAGGAAGGACTCCACGGCTTCACGGGTAATGGCTTTAGGGCTTTTATGGATGAGTGGTGCCGCATGTGCCTTCATTTCGGGATACAGGTCTTCGCCTGCGTCTCAGGGCCTCGCCACCTCGACCCATCCCTAGTGCACTTCGGTGTTGGGGGGCGTTGGAGCAAGCCTTCCCGACATCCCAAAGCCACGCTTCGGATTTGGGAGTCTTCTGTGACAGGGCCTGCCTTGCTTTGGTGTCTCGCTTGCTTTCTCCCCTCTCACTTTCAGGCTTGGGGTTAAAAAACAAGCTTGCAGCTAAACTTGTGTCACGCTGCTGACCTAGTAGAAAGCATGGCTTGTTGGATGCACTGCCACAGACGTTTAAGTTTAAGTTCAACCTTCTTGCAATAAAAGACTACAAGCTGCCCTGAACCGTAAATGCCAACCCCTCAAGCCCATTCACAACCAACCCGCCCTTATCAGCACATTGAGGCCGGGCAGTGGCTGTACCAGTGATGCTGGGTGCAGTGCCTGGCGCGCTGCTCCCTGCACCGCTACTTGGAGTGTTAAAGTCTGGAGTGTTAGAGTCTGGAGGATTGGTCAGGACTCAATCATACCAAGGATGATAATGATAGAAAAACAAAAGCTTGACTGTAAGGTGCATGGGCTGTGGTTGGAGTCTGGTGGAGTCTTCAGATTTGGATTTTTGGGTGGCTCGAGATGGTGTGGGCATCCTCAGGCGGTTTCGTAGAGCATTTAGGGTACAGGGTTTCGGATTGTAATAATAATAGAGAGAACACATGTAAACAATGGCATGCTCAGCTGATTCCCGATAAGAGTGACACCCTCAGATGGTTGAGGTGGCTGTTCAACACACTCGCCCAAAATTCATCTTGTTCTCAGAAAGGTGAAGAGAACGCAGTATGTATTTCAGCGAGAAGCTCCGCACACCTAGTGGAGCAATGGTCGCTTTGCAACCTCTTTCGGGCTTGCGGAGCTTCGTAGAAGTGCTTTATCCCAGTTCAAGCCCAAACCCTAAACTCTAAACCCTGTAGTTCCCAGACACAAAACCTAAATGCAACCCCGGACTCGCTCCGTTTGTGGCTGTCGGCTGAGGCTTACGGCGCTGTCCTTTCCTGTGGGGCTCTTCGTCAGGACCTCAAGAATCACCGAAAAGGTTTTGTCAGCGCTTGTTCTAAAGCGGGTTCCATTCAAGGCACCCAAACTACTCGTCGTCTATTATATTGAGGAGTTTCTGAACGTCCAGGCTGGCTTGGCGTCATTTTCTCAGGTGCACCCCGAGATCCTTTCTGATGCTCCTTATGGCCTTTTCGAGGTATCTGTTCATAGCTAGTCTGGACGCTCAGATTCCCGAACCACCTCGTGCCAGTTCTGGAGTCTTTTTGCTTGTTAATATACGGGCCTTTAGAATTAGAATTGAATCGGGCCATAGCATACTATATATGCCCCACAACCCATTCTGATTAATTATTAAGGCCCCTACAGTACTTTGCCAGCTCGGTTTAGTCCAAGAGTCAGGGCGACGGCAACTGCCGGAAATTGTCTCATGCTGCCTTTTTTTTAGGGGCTCGGGCAACAGCTGACGAGTGGCGGAGGATGCCTTGAGGCTAAGCCTGATGCGGATGCAGCCACCGTTTCAGGTTGAGGCCTTCGCCTTCCAGCTCCAGCGAAGGATTGAGACGTAGAACGCCCTACCCACTGCGACAGAACGGCTGGTGGGCCCTACAAGGGGCCCCAGCGCCTGCAATCCAGGCCCAACCTGTTGGCAGCAAATGCTATAAAGTTATAAAGTTAAGGTTGGTCTTCCGGCTGGGTGCCTAAGCCCGAAAGGGTTCCTGCAGCTTAGACTCAATGCCGGCAAGCAGCCATCGAAGGCAGTATAAGTGGAAGCCTCCACAGCCCGAGGTCACAGGACCGGTGCAGACTGTGCCCATCCTGGTTGCCATCGTCACGGCCTCCATGCTTGGAGCCCAGCTGAATCAGAGGTGCTGCTTGTTCAGGTGTTGGGGTTGGGCGGTTTCGTGTTTTTCACACAGGGTGATCTGTGCCTATCAGAGGATGTAGTCTAGGCCTTCAACAAAGCCGCCCCGAACTCGAAACTTCGAGGTCCCAATCGCACAAAGCCCCAAAAATACAGCCGAAGTCCCCACCTCCAAGTCACCCAAGTCCTACACCGACAACTCGCAGACCTTTGATTGCCCCGGTAAAGTTATCAAAAGATATTACTTCCAACCCCAAGCCGACGACTCGAAGACCCCTTGCCAGGCTCCTGGTGGGCAGCGGCTTTCTCGAGAAGCTCATGGTGAAGAGGGCCTAATCTTTAGGGTTAGGCTAAGGAACTCGGACCCTAAGTATTCTGAACTTGTCTGGAAACTGAGGGTTTCTCCGGCTTCCCGCTCTTCTGGGGTCTCCTGGATTGGGGATCGAATGAGGCTCAGCGAGTCGTCGAGGTGACTAGGGTGCATGGATTTTCGGGGAAGTCTCCTCACAGGGGAGTTCCTTCACTGTCTTTGCGTAGTCATCGCCAGCGTTTGTGCATTGAGAGTTCCGCCTTTAACTTTGCGGGCTCCTCGATGCCAAAAGCAGCCAAATCTGTCACTATGCCATGCGGGTGAAGGGACAGCACGGAAGTCTGAGGCCATGCAAGCGAGTCCGTATGACCAGTGTGTAAGAATCAGGTCTCTGACTAAAGCCTTGAAGCCTACACAAAGGCTAGGTCCCAGGTCGGGGGTCTGAGTGCAACCTTTTCATGTGCCGATGTGTGAGCAATCCGAGTGCCACTCAAGCCGCTGGTGCATGCCCTAGCATCCGGAAAGTGTCCGGAAGCTTAGTTGTCAGAACGGGAATTGGAGTTCTTGGTGTAGGCGTGCTGCATTGGTACCCAGGAAGACATGCAATGCCCGCCGGGTCAGTTGAAGCAAGTCATCTAGACACATAGGCATCGTTAGCTACTTGAATCCTGGAGCCCCAAATCAGAAGCCATGAGCCATGGGGCCACGAAGGGCCAAACCTCAGACGCCCGACATGCGAAAGCGCTCAAAAGCAGGGGCAATAAAAGAGAACCTTCCCCCCCCCAACATGGACAGTCCTAGACCCTGATTCCTTGGTATTCAATCACCAAAAAAGCCGAGATAAGGGATTCACCTGGAGAATCTTTTGTGAGATGAATTCTTGCCCGCAGAGATTTGGTGCTCGTTTGAGCACTGTTTTGTTCATTGATGTACTTTAGCTCGCTTCGGGAGAGAATCGTTCGAATTGCAGCGAAACGTTCGTTTAGGAATAAGAAAGCGCTCAAACACTCAACTATGCTGATGTTCATGATGCCGTTATGACATCAAGATTTTCAAAGCTATGACGCACTCTCAGCTTTTTCATGGATCCTTCGCTGTCGAGCAGCCTGCTTCTGAAGTTGCTTCTTGTATGCACCTAGCATCTTCTGCATGCAGTGGTAGGTGCAACTGAGTGCATGCGTGCCACACCTCCTTGCTGTCCTGGCTGTCATTCCTATGAAACCCTTATGCAGCAGGCTCGATCTTAGCTGCCAAGCGTCATACACAGGGTTCTAGAGCGACATTGTACAACTTGCGGTTCTGCACACACAGTGCTGCTCAGAAATGCGACTGCATATGCAGCTCGGGCTTGTACCGATTTTTGTTGAATGACTTCCAGGTTGTGGTCTCCTTGCATCGTGGCAGGTGCGCACACCCAGCCTGAGATGGGTTAGACTTCTTTTTGGGCACCGTGATCGTCCTGACATGTAGGATAGTCAAGCGCACATGCCAGGAATGTAGCGATCTAGCGTGCGCGGATCTGCCTGAATCTTCAGGAGTTGTTATTAGTGGTCCTCCAGCTCAAGAATTTTCGGCTTCATCTCAGCAGCCAGCCTGAGTTTTCGAGAGTTGGGTTTCTGGGATTGCATGATAAGTAGCATCTGAATGCACACGATGCAAGAAAAGATGCTTGATACTGTTTTGGCCCAGAAGAGTTCAGCTTGTCCTGTCCGGAAGCATCCCCAAAACCGTTGATGTAGACAGCGAGCACACCTCATATTTCTCTAAAGCTAGCACGATGTGTTTTACGCTGCTTGGCGACACTTCTCATCAACTAGTAACTAGCTTGGAGACGATTGCCTGCAGGGATCTGGAGGGCAGTTTCGCACCCGTAAAGTCCAATTCAAACCACGCCTGAAACCCCAAATTTGAATCCACGCCCTTAGACGTACAAAGCCTGCAACCTCAAACCCTAAAGCCCAACCCCGACACCTCCAAGCCCAACCGAACCCCGTTTGCAGAAGTCTACTGAGGTCAAGACGGCCATTCCAAGGCAGTGAAACGTAAGCCTTTCCGAGGCCTGAAGGTCGGCCGTTTCAGGAAGATGACGGGACCTGTAGACTCGTGGCCAACACAAGGAGTGGTTGTACCAGCCGCAGCCACTGGCTCCGAACCGACTTGGTCTCGAATGAGGCTTGCGCTGCCCCGTAGATTGTTCACTCGGAATGAAGCCTTGGAAGACGCTCGAGGAGTGCCCGGACAAGGAGCCCCAGGACAGAGTTCGCTGCATGTCTGTCAAAGTCATCGCCGGGGTGTAAGATGCCAACCGTCGACAGTAAAGCTCCACTGCATTCATCCAGAAATGCGATTTGCTCGTGTTGCCGGCAGGCAGTCTTTATCTGCACTCGCAAATTACATGCTCAACAAGTGTACGAGAGACGGATGCATTACGATGTGAACTGCAGAGTATGCAGGAGACTATGTGAGCTCTTGCAAAGTCAAGGCGGAGTTTGGGCGATGATTTGGTTTGTAGACACGGGGTTTTGAAGACCTTCTGGCGGGAGGTCTGTAAATGGAGCCTCATCTGGTGTTGCAACTTCCTACGGCCCCAGCTAACATTGGTCAATAGGAATGCTATTTAGATGCTCGTGTTGATACTGATTAAGTATGATGATGATGATGATGACGGTGGTGATGATGATGATGATACTGTGCTTGACAAAAAGTGGGATGATCGCGGGTGTGGCTTTTCAGCAGAGATCGGCCGGATGCTGGCAGGGGTCTGAGCTTTAGCAATAACAGCAATCATGAAATGGAACCCGAGGATGAAGAGAGCTTCAAACCAGGACCTGAAGACGCTGGCACACTCTCCACCCCCCAGGCTTCGTCCTGATGTCACACTCTCCGTTTGCTTAGAAGGCCAGAA